TGTGCACCTGTGGGGGCTGATGCAGGGGGAGGGCAGGCCCTGGGCTGGGATGGGAGTGGTTCCTTTCCCCTTGGGCCTCTCAAGGCCTGCTGGGTTGGAGTGGGAGAGGTGGCCCAGTAACCCCACCTCTGCTGTTTCCACCAGACCACCTCTCCCCTTTCCCCTTTCCCCTCCTCTCCCGACGGCCTCCCCTTTCTCTCTCCATAGGCACCTTAGGGATGAGGTGAATGACAGGCTGGCGGCCCTGCCAGGAAGGGTGGGCCAAACCTTCTGGGCCGGGGAGTGGCCCCTGCAGCCCAGCAGCTGTGTCCCACCCCCTCCTTCAGCACAGATGGGGAGTGGAGGCCGGCACTCCATCTGCTCCCCCCAGACTCACACCTCCCCGTTCCCAGCTCTTCCTCTTTCCGGTTTCCTTAAAAACCTGGCCCAAGTCTCCTGCTGTCCCTAGTGGAACCAAAGGACCGGAGGGAGTCTCAGGGTGACAGTCATAATATTCATCCCCACGGCCAGACCCTGTGCTGAGCTCTTCCCACGTACGATCTCATTGAATCCTCTCAACAACCCCAGTGCACAGATGAGGAAATTGAGGTGCAGAGAGCATGAGGGACCTGCCAAGTCATACAGTGAGTGGTGGAGCCAGCACGGGGTCCTGGGCAGTCGGCTCCAAAGCCCATGCTCTTTGCCCAGAGGGCCCCTGCCACCCTGGCCTCCCACACCACCAGGTCTGGGAACTGAGGCCCAGAGAGGGCAGGGATGTGACCACACCACAAGTTTGGGGCAGAACCGGGACCAGAACTCACTTTTCTCAATGGCCAGTTAGAGGGTGCTTCCTTCTCTTGGCAGAGATGGGTCGTTTTGGCCTAGATGCCCTTGACTGAGAACTGACCCCGCCCAGCGCAGTTAGCCTGGGTTTGAGTCCTGCAGCCCTACTGTGAGTTAGCTAGAAGGGTGAGCGGCCTGGAGTCTGTTATTCAACCTCTCAGAGCCTCGGTTTCCTCATCTGTAGAGTGGGCAGCACAGCACCACCCCCTCCACTGCGCCTGCGTGGAGTGGCAGGCGCCAGTGACAGCCGCCCTGACCTGGCCTCCCTCTCTGCCCGCCCTGCAGCAGCGGCCCCTGAAACAGTCCCTGGGAAGCTCCCTGTGCCGCGAGTCCCACTGGAAGTGCCTGCTCCTCACGCTGCTCATCCACTCCTGTGGCGCCGTGGTGGCCTGGTGTCGCCTGGCTACGGTGCCGCGGCTGGTCCTGGGGCCCGAGGCGGCCCTGGCCCGCGGGGCCGGGGCCCCGCCGCCCACCTACCCGGCCAGCCCCTGCTCGGATGGCTACCTGTACATCCCGCTGGCCTTCGTCTCCCTCCTCTACCTCCTCTACCTGGCCGAGTGCTGGCACTGCCACATGCGGGCGTGCCAGGCGCCGCGCACCGACGCGCACACGGTGCTGGCGCTGATCCGCCGGCTGCAGCAGGCGCCGCCCTGCGTCTGGTGGAAGGCCACCAGCTACCACTACGTGCGCCGCACCCGCCAGATCACCCGCTACCGCAACGGCGACGCCTACACCACCACGCAGGTCTACCACGAGCGCGCCGACAGCCGCACGGCGCGCGCCGAGTTCGACTACTCGGCGCACGGGGTGCGCGACGTGTCCAAGGAGCTGGTGGGGCTGGCGGAGCACGCGGCCACGCGCCTGCGCTTCACCAAGTGCTTCAGCTTCGGCAGCGCCGAGGCCGAGGCCTCGTACCTCACGCAGCGGGCCCGCTTCTTCGGCGCCAACGAGGGCCTGGACGACTACCTGGAGGCCCGCGAGGGCATGCACCTGAAGGACGTGGACTTCCGCGACTGCCTGCTGGTGTTCGCCGACCCGCGCCGCCCGCCCTGGTACGCGCGCGCCTGGGTCTTCTGGCTCGTGTCGGCCGCCACGCTGTCCTGGCCGCTGCGCGTGGTGGCGGCGTGCGGGACGGCGCACGTGCACTACCAGGTGGAGAAGCTGTTCGGCGCCGGCTCGCCCGCGCCCGGCGCCCCGCCCAGCGCGCCGCCCCTCTCGCGCGTGGCCACCGTGGACTTCACCGAGCTCGAGTGGCACATCTGCTCCAACCGGCAGCTGGTGCCCAGCTACTCGGAGGCCGTGGTCATGGGGGCCGGCGCGGGCGCATACCTCCGCGGCTGCCAGCGCTGCCGCCGCTCGGTCAGCAACAACTCGCTGCCCCCGGCCCGGGACGGGCGGGCCCCGTCTGTCGTTCTATCCCCACTCGCT